AAGGAAATTGAAGAGTATGATTAGCAGCAAGGTGGATGGACTCAGTTATGGTGACAATGAATGCACTTTTGAGAGACACAGATTTTCATGGAGAAAATCTACATGGCCTCTGACATGTTTCTTTCTGTGTGTAGAATCCCCTGCATAAAATCCACTGTGGTATAAAACAAGCCACAAAGACAATGCCCACCTTCACTCTGAAGAGACAAGAGTCCAGCAATTTCACACTTAACAGTTCATAGAGTCCAGTTTCATCACTTAAATGGGCGAAATCCATTCTTCTCCCAGTAATTCCTTGTCTAAAGAATGTATATTCTGTCATACATCCATAGTGCACTAGATGGCAGGACTGAGCTGACTTTGATTGATCTCAAAACTTCTAAGTGAATAGCTGGACTGAAGACCACGAGGAGATCCCAGAACTGCAATCTAGAGATGTTCTAGGAAAAGACATTGTGAGTTGTCTTCAACTCCCAGAATTCCTGAGCCAGCATTGCTCAGCATGGAAACCTCTCGCTTTTCCCTCAGCATGGCTGGCTCAGGAATTCTGGGAGTTGAAGTCCGCGAGTCGTAAAAGAGCCAAGGTGGCCTACCCCTGGCCTAGTTCCTGCTGGTCTCAGTCTAACATTTAACCATTGCACTTCCCTGGATCTCGTTCCTTTTTACCCGACTTTGCATGAGGAAGCATACATGGAACATAGACTAATAGAATTGGAAGGGACCTTGGAGGTCTCCTAGTTCAATCCCCTAGACCAGGGGTAGGCAACCTCGGCTCTTTTATAACTCATGGACTTCAACTCCCAGCTATGCTGACTCGGGAATTCTGGGAGTTGAAGTCCACGAGTCATAAAACAGCCAAGGTTGCCTATCCCTGCCCTAGACCACTTCAGTCTCTTTTTGAAAGCCTCCAGCGAGGGAGCACCCACAATTTCTGAAGGCAAGCTGTTCCATTGGTTGGTTGCTCTCACCATTAGGAAATTTCTCCTCAGCTGCTTAGTTAATACTTATACTTAGTTTAATACACTGCTGGTTGGTTAGCTCCTGAGTTAATACTGTACGCTGTGATTTAGTTCAAAGCTCAGAATGGCTCTCGGCCAACTCCACAGGAAGATCAGAAGATCTTCCATGTCTCCCTCTTCCCTTTCCTCTGTGTGTGTGTGTGTGTCTGTGTCTCTGTGTGTGTGTGTGTGTGTAGGACCGACCAAACGACAGACATGTCTGTCATACGCCATTACCATTAGAACAGAATCTTGTTCTTTTATTACATCTGAACTCTGCCAGATTTCACAGCAGGAATGCTAAGTGAAATCAATGTCTTGGGTTTCCAGCCTTAGCTTTGAGGTCACAGACACTCTATCATTTCTCAGTATTATCTCCTTCTTTTGCCCTCCCCTCCTCTCTCTCTCAACCTCCAACTGGCACACAGCAGATTGAAAACAGCATGAATCAGAGGGACCGTGCTGCACAATTTTACAGCCGTTTGGAGGGCCCCCCCTTCATTCAAATACACACACACACACACACACAGAAACATGCATGCCACTCTTCTCTGCTTTCCTCTTTGCAGCTTAATTCTGCTGACAGTCCCTTGACAGGACTGAAACTCCAGGGTACAAAAAAAAGGGGATAGATTTTCCTCCCCCAGGAAGGAAAAGGAGAGAAAGAGGAAAGACTGCGATGTATTTCTAGTAATTGTGAGTGGGGGGAAAAAAACCTGCTTCCTTTCTTATTCACAGGCAGGCATTTGTGTTATTGTGAACATTATCAAGTCAATACTGTAATCAGCAAATCCCCCAAATAAGGGCTAAAAGAAATATGACATGGTTTATCTTTCTTTCTTTCTTTCTTTCTTTCTTTCTTTCTTTCTTTCTTTCTTTCTTTCTTTCTTTCTCTTTCTTTCTTTCTTTCTTTCTTTTCCTTATGTGGGCAACTAGGCCAAGTATTTGGATGGGTAGAGGGGTTTTTTTCCTAGCAAAGTTTGGTGGAACTTACTGGAACTCTCAATATCTGCTAGCTGTAATATGGAAAGGGATCCTTGGGAGAGTTTGTCTGAGAAGAACATGTCCCCTCGACTGAGTCAGGGTCTTAGATGAGCTGCCTCTCCTTATTTTCTACACCAAATTCTCTCCCTCTCTTGTGTCCACAGGACATGGTTAAAAAGGCAAGATGGGGATTAAAGCTGTATAAAAATGGGCAGAGATTTATTTGTATCACTATTGTTGTTATCCTGATTTTTTTAAAAACACACTGTGGAGGCTGCTAACTCCATCCATCCATCATTCATTCATCCATCCATTCTTTCTTCATCCATCCATCCATCCTCCATCCTCCATCCATCCATTCTTCATCTCCATCCATCCATCCATCCAATTCATCCGTCATTATCCATCCAACCTCCATCATCATCCATTCATTCTCCATCTTCATCTATTCATCCATCTATCCATCAGTCATCATCCATCCATCCTCCATCATCTACCATCCATCTATCCATCCATCCATCCATCCATCATCCTCCCATCCATCCATCCATCCATCCATTCTCCATATTCATCCATCCATCCATCCATCCATCCATCCTCCATCCATCCATGTCCATCCTCCATCCATCCATTCTCCATATCCATCCATCCATCCATCCATCTCACTGACTATCTGTCTCTCTTATATCCCAAGGCCAACCGTACAGCAAACATCTTGCATGGATTGACCCCGTATTTTTGCCCAATACAGAAAATAGATATAAGCAGCTTCTCTCCCCGTGGGCTATACTGAGAGACACTTGCTAAGAGGAAGGAAGCCAGCTAGCATTGGTCCTTTCTCAGAACAACTACTGTAAATGCTCACATATGAAAGATGCCCTTTTTTTTCCACACACAAAAACTCTTGCAGATGTAGCAATATGAAGTCCTGGACAAAAGCTGCTCCTTCTTCGCAACACTTCTTGAACTGATCATGGAAACACGTGCCATCATTTTCACATGGTCATTCCACCAAATATAGATAGTGGTCATTAAATGAAACAGAGACTGTGCTTATGAGTTTATGTCAGCTTTCCTTTCCTTTACAGACCTGCAAAGGTTGTCTGTATAAGAATCTCTTGCAAAGTTACTGTTTCATCATCATGGTAACTGCAAACAGTCATTAAATGAGGCAGTCATTAAATAAGGACTATCAGCACTTCAAAATGTAAGTTGGTTCTGAAGACAGCCCTGGGCTGCTGCAAATGGATTATATTTCTTACGGAAACAAATATATTTAGAACCATCTCTTACCTGATACTCGTTTTTGAAAATGTATGTCTAGATATTAAATTATCTGAACCCAAACACACCATAACAAAACTCTAACCTCTGCACACTCTATTGATTCACTCTGCACATATTTTTTTTTTAAAAGCAAATTCATTTTGACCTGTTCTGTATCACTTTGCAAATATTTTGTTTAAGATTCATGTGGAAATCAGTATGCGTTTCTAGTTCCAATTTCTTCTTCCGAGTCTCTCTGTGTATGTGTGTATGCATACATCCACTCATAGATGCAGTTTTCTATATTGTTCTTTTGTACCCAGTTTTCCTAAATCATTGAGCCTGTCTAGTTAATTGGTAATAACCTTATCCTGAAGAAAAAAAATGGAGGAATAAAATCGTGTTTTTCAGAAACCTAAAAGGCTATAATATAGGAAAAAAAGCAAACAGTTGTTCTATCCCAGAAATGTGAATTAAATTTAACTGGAGTTAAATTACAGGAAGATACATTTTAGTAGAACATCAGGGGGGAACATCTGGATGATAAGAGCAACTTGACCTTGCCAACTACCTGAAGTCTATTAAGGTCTATTTTGATGGAAGACCAAAAGTAGACTTGAAGAATTATCCATCTCGAATGCTTTAATTCTGGATTTCCTGACTAAAGCAGATGCTGAATAAGTGACTTTATAAGCCCTGCTTCAACTGCTGCGATGTAGGGAATCCATACAATGCAAAATCCATATTGTTTTTGTGCAAACAGAAGTTGCAATAGGTGTTTTAGTCATTTCTAATAGCTGCTATTCTACTAGTGTCAGCTGCCACCTCATGCTTGCTTGTGTTTCACTAGTATTCAGTGACAGACTGTCATGAACTCTGGGGTGGGGGGGAAATGTAATAGGGAAGGCTTAGGGGAAAATGAAAGTAAGTGCTGTATCTCCTCAAGAAGCTGCTTCAGGGTCATCTGGAACATGAGCTGCATACCAAACTATGCCTAGACTGTCCATTATGAAAACATTGCCTGAATCCCATTGGTTGTTTGGGGGTAGGTAGTGGGAAGTAGCAAAAGGGGGGGGGGAAGTTGACCTTAGGGATTTTGGCGTGCAATTCTCAGTTCTGGCTTTGCATTACTGCAATACACTAGACTTCTAATAAAATTATACTTTCTCAACAAACGGAGCTAAGGATCATTTATATTTAGGAGTTTAAGCTGTGGCAGGTCTGACAACCGGTATTCAAAGCCATTTTTTTCGATAGCCATAACTTTTCCATTCATCCTGAATTATAGAATAGAATAGAATAGAATAGAATAGAATAGAATAGAATAGAATAGAAAAGAAAAGAAAAGAAAAGAAAATATGGAATGGAATAGAATAGAATAGAATAGAATAGAATAGAATAGAATAGAATAGAATAGAATAGAATAGAATAGAATGCTTTATTGGCAAAGTGTGATTGGACACACAAGGAATTTGTCTCCGGTGCATAAGCTCTCAGTGTACATACAAACAACAAGGTAATATAATCATAAGATACCAATAGGAGAAGGTAGTAGAAAAGATGAGAAGGATAATAGTAATACAGCCATACGACATGGGTAAGTCTCCTTAGACATAAGACTAAGACATAAGTCTTATAAAACCTTATAAGACACATGACCTGATTTATTTTCATCTATAGCATGGAAAAATCCCATTCATATGCAACAGGTACTTTACGACAAAGCCAGGCAGGTGAATCTTAAAGCATTACCTTGGTTTTGGGTGGTGGGCTGATTGCGATCTTGTCAGTGTGAATATTGGTCGGCGATACTGCTGCACCAATGTTGCTTTGGGGAATGCCGGATATCTTTCCACCAGGAGATACTTGCATGGCTGCAAGTTGCGCAGCATATAATTGCTGCAAGACAACAACAGAAGCTGATCAGATAGAGAAGCTATCCCAGTTCAGAAATCCTCCCCTGAACCAACCCCCCCCCTTTTAAAACATAGGTAGTCCTCAACTTACAACCATTCGTTTAACGACTGTTCAAAGCCATGACAGCCCTGAAAAAAGTGACTTCTGACCGATCCCTGCACTTACGACCGTCATAGCAATCATGTGGTCACATGATAAAAATCCAGGTTGTTGGAAACTGGCATGTATCTTTGGAAACTTTGGAGCATCCCAGGGTCATGTGAATGCCATTTGCAAACTTCCCAGGAGGCCTTCAAGAGGCAAAGTCAATGAGGGAAAGAAATTCACTAAATGACTTGTGGCCAAAATGGCAGTAAAATAGGACACAAGTTTCTCAGCGACCATATTGCTTAGTGATCAAAGTTCCAGTCCGAATTGTGGTTGTACGTTGAGGACTACCTCTATACTACTAGATCAGGGATGGGGAACTATGGCCCCTTCATGACTTGTGGACTTCAACTCCCAGAATGCCTGAGCCAGCATGGCTGGCTCAGGCATTCTGGGAGTTGAAGTCCACAAGTCATGAAGGGGCCATGTTTCCCCACCTCTGTACTAGACAGATACAGATCTGGCTGGCTCAGGAATTATGGGAGTTGAAGTCCACAAGTCATGAAGGGGCCATGTTTCCCCACCTCTCTACTAGACAGATACAGATCTGAGTTGATGATGGAAGTTGCAACATCTTATGAGTGTTGGGATTTCAGATCACAAGGTGCAATTTTTTATTATAATTAGCTGTACAGAGGAAGAAGAAACTGAAGGAAAGCTTACTGGGAAGGGGTGAAAAAAATCTTTATTTGCTGATGTTTATTTAGGCATTTCAGATACCGATATCCCTCCTTTTTATCCATATGGAACCATAAGGCAGTTGACAGTCACAGAAAAGCACAACAAAAACAACAGATGAGACAAACAAACAAACAAACGACAATGTGAAGAAGCAGCACCCAAGAAAAACTGAAAAAGAAACTACATTCAGCACTATCTGAAATCTTGGTTTTTGCCTTTTGGGGGAATTATAGAAGAGCAGCTGCAATATTCAGATTATAGTGTAACTGGTGAGGCTCAACAGACCGTCTAGAGCAGACATGTCAAACTCGCGACGTCACATGACGTCGCGCGACGTATCGGAGCTTTTTCGCCATTGCCGGCAATGGGGTGGGCGCGGCTCCGGTATGATGAAACCGGCCCGCGGGCCATCAGTTTGACACCCCTGTTCTAGAGAATTCTGTATTAAGCTGGCATCTAAAAGCCATTGAGAAAAGAGTGCATTAAATTTTTCTGAAGAAATTCCATGGTACTGAGAGAAGAGAATATTTGTAGCTCGGGGTCAACTGTGGGGTCCTTTGTGCTCTCTGAGCTTGGTTTTCTTGCAGACATTTCAATACCAAACTCGGTAACATCATCAGTGCTAGTAAAGGAGCAGGGTTTGCTCTCCCTACTCCCTTACCAGCACTGATGTTACCTAGTTTGCTAATGAAATGTCTGCAAGAAAACCACCAAACTCAGAGGGAACCAAAGACCCCACAAATTCCACGGTCTCTGTCCTACTATTGAAAAGAGCCTATGTTGCACAGCCATCCAGTGCCCTGGGAATATGAAGGAGGACCACTAAAGGGAAGGCAGTTTCACTTAAGAACTGTGTTACTAACTTAACAACTGCAGTGATTCACGTAATAACTGTGGCAAAAAAGGTCGTAAAATGGGAAAACATTCACTTAACAAATGTCTCGCTTAATGGAAATTTGGGACTCAATTGCAGTCATATGTTAAGGACTACTGTACATGAAAATTGGTTAAGCTAAACAGTTGCAATGTATGGATGTGAAAGTTGGACCATAAGAAAGGCTGAGCGACAAAGAATTGAAGTCTTTGAACTCTGGTGCTGGAGAAGACTCCTGCGAGTCCCCTGGACTGCAAGGCGATCAAACCGGTTAATCCTAGAGGAGATCAATCCCGACTGCTCTTTAGAAGGCCAGATCCTGAAGTTGAAACTCAAGTACTTTGGCCACCTAATGAGAAGGAAGGACTCACTGGAGAAGAGCCTAATGCTGGGAAAGATGGAGGACAAGAGAAGAAGGGGACGACAGAGAAGGAGGTGGCTGGATGGAGTCACTGAAGCAGTAGGCGTGAGCTTAAATGGACTCCAGAAGATGGCAGAGGACAGGAAGGCCTGGAGGAACGTTGTCCATGGGGTCGCGATGGGTCGGACATGACTTCACAATTAACAACAACAACAACAACAACAAAACATGCTATAGTTGGACTTTTCCTACTAATTCTAGAGTAGGCATGCAATAGTCCCACTGGGAGTCACTCGGTATTCTTAATTTTCATTCCATTTTCTTTGTGAGATCAATTACTTTTCCAAAGCTACCTTGTTAGTTAATGTAAAATCATAATTTGCGGAGACATTTTGATGTTTTAAGCCCTTCCATTTGCAAAATCGTAACTCTTGCAAGCAGCGGTCTTCTGCATACTGATCTGGAAGAGCAAACTCTCTGCAAATGGCAACCACACGCATAGAAAGTCGGGGGGGGGGAGGTTTTGCTCACATATTTTAAAACTGAAACTCGGTTGAGATGAGAGGGGACGGAAATTATAGCCGGGTGCTAAAATGTGCTAAAGCGTAATGATTAAATACTTAAAGCAACATCAATATTTAGTTCAGCTTCCACCCACTTGGAAACCTTTTTAATATGGCTAATCCTATTTTGCAGGATGGCCCACTATGTGTCAGGCGCGAAAGACCAGGTTCACACATGAAGGTCCGATTAAATTAATTTATTGCTAAAAAGTCTATGCATAAGAATCTTCTCAACTACGGACAGCTCCCGCTTACAGTTAGATAACAGGTTCAATGGAATTCAAGAGGGATTGGATTTTGTTTATAGCCACGTAGGGATTCTAGGCTGGTCCCTCTTTTAATTCTGACTCCAGGTTCTGCCACTCCTTCTCTATTTGTCTGAAATGTTACAGGATTTCCTGCCTGAGCAGGGGGTTGGACGAAAAGATCTCGAAGGATCCTTCCAACTCTGCTATTCCGTTATATTCTCACATCATGCCCTGTAAAAGTTGGGGTGGTGTTTAGCTCACTGAAAGTTGCACACCCTGCAACTGGAATGCAACTTCATTCAGAGAAAACTGATGAAACCTCCTGAAACAGACCGTCCAATCACCGACAAAACTTCCGTCTTCTCATTTATTTATTAGATTTTTATCTGGCTCTTGTTACTTTATAAGTAACTCAAGGCAGCCAACATACATAAGGCTTCCTCCTTTTATTTCCCCCATCACAACCACCCTGTAAAGTAGGGGTATTCAAACTTGGCCCTTTTATGACTTGTGGACTTTAACTACCAGAATTCCTCGGCCAAGCATGCCTGGCTGAGGAATTCTGGGAGCTGAAGCTCACAAGTCATAAAAGGGCCAAGTTTGAAGACCCCTTGACTTGTGAACTTCAACTCCCAGAATTCCTCAGCCAGCGTGCCTGGCTGAGGAATTCTGGGAGTTGAAGTCCACAAGTCATAAAAGGGCCAAGTTTGAAGACCCCTGCTGTAAGGTGAGTTTGGCTGAGAGAGAGAGAGTAACAGCTGCAAAAAAAGATTGTAAAATCAGGCAGGGTCACATGGTGATCTGCTTAATGAACGCTATGACTTATGATGACCAAAATTTCAGGCTCAGTGATGGTCATAAGTCAAGGACTGCCTGTAAGTAAGTGCACGAACACCGCACTCTCTCCATAGAACATTTGATTCGTGAAAGAAATATCAAAACAAATTCAGAAAGAAAGAAAGAAAGAAAGAAAGAAAGAAAGAAAGAAAGACAGACAGACAGACAGACAGACAGACAGACAGACAGACAAAGAGAGAGAGAGAGGGAGGGAGGGAGGGAGGGAGGGAGGAAAGAAAGAAAGAGAAAGGAAGGAAGGAAGGAAGAAAGAGAGAAAGAAAAAAGAGAGAAAGAAAGAGAGAGAAAAAGAAAGAAAGAAAGAAAGAAAGAAAGGAGAGAAAGTAAGTAAGTAAGTAAGTAAGTAAGTAAGTAAGTAAGAAAGAAAGAAAGAAAGAAAGAAAGAAAGAAAGAAAGAAAGAAAGAAAGAAAGAAAGAAAGAAAGAAAAACAAAAACACGCCTCTTCTCCAACTCCAAAGGAAATCTCAAAAATAAATGTTCTTAGACCAAACTGAACTGGACTTAAAAAATTACTGAAGAGTCTCTGTGCCCAGCACTAGCAGGAGATGCTAAGAAGCCAACTTGAAGCTCTCTGCAAATAAACGAGGTGCTGTTCTAAAGTAAGGAAGCACCCTTGCATGATCTGTGAGTTGCATTTTTGGCAGCCCATGGAATCAGAAAGAAAGGAGATTGTGCGAATGAATCCTAAAGCGATTAAAAATATTAATTAATTTAAAAAAAAAACCCAACAGCAACCAAACCAGCATCTTATATCAGGGCTCATTTACACTGAGGCAGAACAATGCTCCCGATACATAAAATGTACAGGGGTAGATTATTCAGGAGGACGTTGCGAGCAGCTCCTTCAAGCTAGGTCCACGCACTTTCTTAAGATGCATCTTTTTGCCTGCTGGAGAAATACCTAGCAACAGTACTGCGTCAAGTTGCTGCTACTCGGGGGAAGCGTAGGCCAAGGTAAAGGAGAAGGTAGACATTGCGTGGCAGCGCGTGCATACAAAAATGAAATATATGCCAACACTGTGAATTAGGCCATTATTTCAAGGAGAAAAAAGGTCAACAAAACCAGGCACCTCTGCTGAAGATACTACCTATTGTAATGCTAAGTAATACCGGGTTACACGCAATAATAAAGAGAGCAAGGACAAACATGCATCAACACGGTGCCCAATATTAAAATTTTGCACTGTTACTGAGTGATCTGCTTTTAATGTTGGACGGCTAGTGTAAACGGTCAACGGAGGCAG